AAAATATATAAATATACACAAGATAGCTAAGATAATTGTACTACTAATTTCTATTGGTTTATTGAAAGGAATAGTTAATGCTTAATTTTTTTAATCAATTTTGCCTATACCTGGTAATTTGAACTACTCTGAAGATAACAATATGCAATATAACAACCACTGTTGATTTCCCATCATCTTGTTTTGAAATTCTGTAGTTTTTAATATTTTTTATTTTCTTTAAAATAAAAAAGTATATCACTACGATATTTGAATCAAACAACCATGCTTATTTGTTAAGTTATCCCACATAACAGAAATTAATAAACAATTAAGTGACTGCCATGTTTCAGTTACAGTGCCAGTGACAGAAGCATATAAAAGTTTTTCCCTGAGGACTTCACAATCCAAGTGCTTACTCAAATATGGATATATATGCAGTAGTTTTGATACATTATAATTAATATTATAATACAAGGTTGTATATCTACAGAAATACATCAACTTTTTTCTAGTAGGGAAAAAGAACTGTGAAGACTGAATATATAGGCTGAGTCTTAAAAGAAGCAGGAGTTTGCCTGGCAAACAATTTCAAAGAGAAAGGTATGCTAAAATTAGAAATTTCATGAGGGAAATGAAAGAAGTTCAATGCAACTACAGCAGAGTCCTGTGCAGTGTAGGCACAGAAAACATGGCTGGGCAATACACCATCTAGGGGTCAGTGCATGAAGGGTGCTACATACTACCCTGAGAAAAGTTTAGCCCTTGGAAACTTCTAAACAGGAGTGGTACTATTATTATGTCTGCATTGCAGAAAAATAATTGGTGCCAGAGTGACATTTGGAAAGGGCAAAGTACGAAAAGTAAAATGACCTATTTTGAAAGACTTTTACAATAGACCAGAAAAAAGATGATAAAGATTAAAAGAATAATAATAGGAAGGCAAAACCAGAAAGAAATTACACAGCTCTGGCTGGGTGTGGTGGCTGTAATATTAATCCTCACCAGGCTGAGGCAGGATAGGATGACTGCCGGGAGTTCAAGGCTAGCCTGGGCTACATAGTAAATCCAAAACTAGCCTCAATTAGAGTGAGATCCTGTCTCAAAGAAAAAAAAATCTTGACAAACATACTACCTATGAAGTGTATCATTCTGTAGTGTTTTAGTGTATGCGGAGTTTTCCCTACATGCAATTGTTATGTAAATTGAGGGGGAAAATTCTACTTTGTTCACCGCTTGGGGAAACCAATTTGTCGATTTGACAATGACCCTTACGGTATTTGAAATAACAATATAGTAAATATACCTGACTGGAGCGGCCACACACAGTGATTCTTTGCATTGCTGCAATATGGCAGAAACATTACTTCATTATGGCTTCTAATGCAGTCATGACTGAGCATTTACAGACTTAGACACATGTTATTTTCTAATAAAATATTTCATCTTTATGTTTCAATTACAATATTATATTGGGTTTTAAAAAATTATATTTAATCTCATTTCAGTATTTGAGGATATTACAGGAGACCTCATGTAGTATATGTTACAAAATGGGCACTGGGATAGAAAAATTGAGAATCACTGGCCTGCAGTTTGGCCTTCATGGGCCTGGACTACTAAAGAGGACTCCTAATTGGTATCATGCATTCTACACAGTCTCTCTTCTTCCTAGTAAAATATCTACAGATGTAAAAATCACTAATACTAGTTCTATCTTCAACCACAGCATTCCTAATTGCCTCATACAAATTAGCTTGATATTGATACTCTACAAAGAAATTCTTTCTACCTAACCTTATCCAGCTAAACACCACAGACTAGAGTCTTTCTAGATATGATATCATATCTAGAAAGCTTTATTTCTAACAAGCCAGTAGTCACAGTGGAAGTATAAGATTCAGAAGTCAAAGTGTAAAGTTTGGAACCCTGGATCTGCTGTTTATTAAAAGAATGATCCTAGGCAAGTTACTTATACATTCTGAATCTGTTTTCTCATTTTTTTAGTTAATTAAATTTGATCACATTCATCACAGGGAATTTGTACCTGTACATGATTTGTCTTGATTCTTTTTTTACCCCATCCCCCTACCCTCCTTCTGTTTCCTCGTTTTTGAAGGGGTGATGATAAAGGACGTTTCTTCACAGCGTTGTGGTAAATAATGAATGGGATATAGTAGTAGGTTGATGACTTTTCTAATGCCAGGTGTGGTGTGTACACTAGTAATTGCAGCTACACAGATGGTTGAGGCAGGATAGGGAGTTATGAGGCCAACGTAAGACAACACAGGGAGACCTGTTTTCACATTTTTTTTTTTTGAGACAAGGTCTCATGATGTAGTTCAGGCTGGCCTTGAACTCACTACATAGCCCAAACTGGCCTCAAACTCCTGGAGATCCCCTCCTTAGTCTCCCAAGTGCTAGGATTACAGGCAATGTGCTATCACAGCTAGCCTATCTTCAGGCTTTTACCTGTTTTGTTCAGTTATGTACTCCAAGGCCGCAGGATGTTACTTGGCACCTGCTTAAGAAACGTGTGCTGAATGAAAGGATACTTGCCTTCTGAAACTTCTCGAGGCAAGCCCAGCTGATTCTGTTTCAGAAATGAATCAGTTACAGGTACAGAGCCCCTATTATGAATGTTAGAATGTTATCGTTATGCATATCTAAAATGTACCAATAAAAAGAAGAGTCCCTGAGCCCCCAAAATAAATAATAATTAAATGCTCACACACTGAGTGCTTACTAAAAGTAAATATCTAATCTCTGCTCTTAGAAAAAATACTGAACAATAACAAGTCAACATAAAAGCTGTCACAAGGCAACATATGACTAGTAAACAAACAGTATGGTCAGTAAGTTCTATGCACGTAAAGACGAGTTATATCGCTATGAGCTGGAGAAGTATGGAATACAAAGTGTAAAAAGGATAAAACAGCCATGTTTAGAGACTTCATCTAATCCAGTCTTCTTACAATCTAAGAAAACTTTATATATCCCAACCTGCCAATCCTTTGCCATTTTAGGCAGCAAAATGTACCATGACCAAGGATATCCCAATTTTTCCTCTTGTTTTACATGATGCTCCCTGTGTTCTAGTTCCTGTCCCCTTTATCTCTGGGTATTCCAGTGATCAATAAGACAGCCATAAGTACAAGTGGCTATTGAGCACTTGCTGTGACTAGTCTGAATTCAGATGTGCTGAAGTATAAAAAAAGAAAGTAAAACATCTCAATTTTATACTGATTATATGGTATTCAGGTTAAACAGAACACATTGTTAAAATTAAAATGTATTCTGTACCTGCTTCTTTTACTTAAACATAGCTACATATGCAGTCCAGAAAAATGAAAACAGACTCTTATCCTGGCCAGTTTTAAAAATCAACTCAAAATGAATTTAAGGCTTAAAAATGAGACCTGAAACTGAAACTGCTAAAAGATAACAAGGGAAAATGCGTTAGGACACTGGAATGTGCAAAGATTTTTTTGGGACAAAACCCCCAAAACACAAGCTACAAAAGCAAAAATTGACAAATAGGACATCAATCTAAAAAACTTCTGCAGAGCAAACAATCATCAGAGTAAAGAAACCACCTAGGGAATGGGAGAAAATATGTGTGTCACAAAGAGGTTAATACTCACACTATATAATGAACTAAAGGACTAGGTTTAAAATACGGGCAATAGATCTAACTAGACATTTCTCAAAAAAGAAAGAGATCAACAACTGACCAACAGGTACACTAAAACATGCTCAGCAACATCAGTCACCAGGCAAATTAAATCAAAACTACAGGGAAGTTCACCTCCAGTAACAATGGCTATAATAAAAAAGACAAAACATAACAAGGGGCAAGCCTTACACACTGTCGGTAGGAATCTAAATGAGCAGACAGTTACTGTGGAAAACAGCATGGAGGGTCCTCAATGAATGATACTACTAGGCATATACCCAAAGGAAATGAAATAGTATGTCGAAAAGATATCTATCTACACTCTCAAGTTCACTTCAGCAGTATTCATAATAGCTGAGAAATGGAAAAATCTAAGTATCCAACAACTGATAAACGGATGAAGAAAATGTTGTACACCTACACGATGGAATACTATTCAGCCATAAAAAAGAATTAAATCTTGTCATTTGCCACAACATGGATGGAACTGGAGATCATTAAGTGATACAAGCCAGGCACAGAAAGATTACATGGTCTCAAGCTGATCTTATACACGGTGAGAGCAGAACGCTGTTACTGGAAGCTGAGGACAGGGAGGGCTTGACCAATGCATACTAAGTTAGTTAGGAGTAAGACGTTGTAGGGTACCACTACAGGACGAATTGGGTAGCTGCAGATAACAATAATGTGCTCCTTATTTCAAAAAGCTAGGAGAAAGAATTTTTTTTTTTTTGGTTTGGTTTTTCTCCGGTACCAGGAACCGAACTCACGACCTTGCGCTTGCCAGGCAGGCGCTTTTGCCACTGAGCTAAATCCCCGGCCCCAAGGAGAAAGAATTTTGACGTTTTCACCATAATGATATAGCTGAGGAGAACAGGTATGTTTAACCTGATTTAAACATTACACAGTGTAAACGTGTATCGCAACATCATGCCTCCCAAAGGTACTCTTTTTACATTTTTAATTATCAATTCAAAAATTAAATTTAAAAATGGGGCCACGAAAAAAATCTTAAAAATATGAGTGTGGCTCCAGTTACGTTCCTCGTGTCCCCTTCCAGCGGCACGTTTCAGCTGGAATGAAACACTCGCACACCTCGGCTCCGGCCACTTTTGGCCCGCGTCCCCGGGAGCGCGCGAGGCCCGCTGGGCGCAGAGGGTGCCCGGGGAGGCCTTCTGCGGTCTGTAGTCTGCCCTCCCCGGAGCGGCGCGCCGCGGCGGGCAGGGACGGCGCACACCACCGCGAGCGCGCGCAGCCGCCAGGCGGGACTCGGCGTGCGCGAGGCGCCAGCCCAGCAGGCGGGCACTGAGAGCCAGAGAGGAGGCGGGTCGCCTTCGGGACTCACCAGCCGGTGGTCAATGTCCGCGTCGGGCCGTCGGGCCGAAGGTGGCGAGTACTCTGCGTAACGCAGCCCCTCGCCGGCCGCGGCAGCGCCACCGCGAGCAGCCATGGCAATGTGGTCGCTAGAGACGCGCGGCGCGGCCTACGAGGCGGCCGCAGGGACAAACTTCTAAGAGCGAGTTCATTATGCACCTTCAACAGATTTTCATTTTGTGTGTTGATAAAAGCGAAACCCTAGAAGTTCCTTCTCATTTTATCTCGGATCAGTTTGTCCCATTAAATCCCAAGGTCATACTCTGAGCCAAACCCTTGGGCGGATAAAAGTGCCCACCTCCCCCGCCTTAGATTCGCTAGCTCAAAGCCAGGGCTGGGGCTCTTACAGCACACTGTGGTGGGGCTGGGCTCAAGCCTTGGGTCTGACGTGAGTCTCTGAGCTCAGGTCAGGAGGGGCTGGGCAAGTCTAGCTGTAGCACAGGAGGGTGGGGACATGCCTGAAATTTCCTGACCCAGTCCCAGCTTTTCTCCCCACCCACGACTGATTACACTCCTGTTTAAGGTCATATTTCTCCCACCCAGCAAGAGGCAGTTTGCTTACTCTATCCCCAAATGAATAGCTGTATTTGAGGTGAATTTACAGAAAGGAGGATTGCCAGCAAAAAATAAATAAATCCCACTTCCCACAAGTGGTTTTGTGCAAATTTGAATATAGAAAGAGTCACTTTATTATTAATTTTAAGTCAAGTGTTTTGGAGCAAAAGTTATCCAACAACTGAAGCTTGTATAATGTATTCCAATTCCTGTACCGATGTGGTTACTCTTTTGCCCTTCATACCCATTGCAAAATTAGCTTATAAGAAGGGCGGGCCGGGCATGGTGACGCAAGCCTGTAATCCCAGCACTCGGGGGTGGGGGTGGGGTGGGGGTGGGGGTGGGGCTGAGATAGGAGAATCATTGCGAGTTCGAGACCAGCCAAGCTACAAAGTGAGCTCAAGGCCACCCTGAATTGCATAGCGAGACCCTGTCTCAAAAAGACAAAAAAAAGCAATCTTTCTTCTTACTCTTTTCTTTTCCAGAATTAAAAATTTTAAGGATCTGTCTATTTGTGGTTAATGTTATTAGCATGCCCAAGAGGTTTGGGCTGGAGGAATTTACAATCTAGAAGAGAGGATAACACTGACATGGTGTAATGAATACTAGTATGAGCACTTGCATCGTGGGGCAGTGTAAAGAAACAGCGTGGAAGTGAAGAAGTTTGAGTTCTAGCATATGCACTGTCATTTTTCTGGTTTGTGTCTCTGAACATGCCCATTATCCTTTCCAACTCATGCTTATCTGTAGTCACATTTGACCAACATTCTGACTCAAGAAAGTTAGGAGGACAAAATGAAAAAAAGAAAATGAAAGTAACAGCCACAGTGGAATTGGGGTTTACAGGAGGGAATGACTACTTTTAACCCGTCATCGGAGGTTTGTTGGAGGCTTAGCCATTGAAATGATCGGTAAAGAATGAGTAAAATTAACTGAGATGGAAGAGAAAGAGGGCCAGAAATCTTAACTAGGAACAAATGCAAAGACAATAAAAAATTTAGCATGTAGGTCTTGGTTAAAAATATTCCAGTACTCTTCAGGGGCATGATCTTATTATGGAAATTGATTTTTATTAAACCCATGCACAACTATGAAGGATTTTGGTGAACAATTAATTGGATTGGGCCCTACAGGTCAGCCAGCCATTCAACAGTCCATTCGTTTATTCAATAACTACTTAATGGGCATTTAATAGATATCATGCAATATGGTGGACATTGGACCTTTAGCATCAAGCAAACAATAAGGTTTATGAGTCCTTGGAGTTCACAGTACATAGGAGGTTTATGGTGTGCCTAGCAGCTAGTTCCTCATAGTCACAGGCTGCTAACTTGGAGCAAATGATCATTGAGGGCAATACCCAGGTGAGCCAGCTCCTTTTAGGACAGTTGCTCTTGCTCAAGAACTGGAGGGAAGTTTCCAGCGCAGAAGCCGGGAAAAGTAGGAAAGGAGAACCAGGCAGGGAACAGGATAGCAAGGCATGGGAGAATAGGTTCTGCATGGTTTCATCTCAGGTCAGACCCCAAGCTGTAGACACGATTGGCCCCTTCTACAGTGCTGTCTTGGGTATCTACCCCCACAGAAGTGCCAAGTTTTAAAGAAAAATCTTATCCACAAAGACTATTTGACCCCCAGCCTCCGGTATTTTGGTGGATTCACTCTCACCAGCAAAGAAAATATAGAAATCCTGGGACACCTGGGCATGGTGGCACACACTGTAACCCCAGCACTCAGGAGGCTGTCGCAGGAGGACCATCCCGAATTCAAGGCCAGCCTGGGCTACAGAGTGAATTCAAAACCAGCCTGAACTATATAGTGAGACCCTGTCATCTAAAAAAAACAAAGAAAATTACAAAAATAATACTGGAAAAGCAATAAAATATTTTTTTCTCCCCACAAGGATCTCTTCCTCTTAAGCTAAATTCACTTTCTGACTTCCTTGAGGATGAAGAGGAGCAATTTTTCTGAAAGCCAAAGGAGAGGCGACATTAAATTTCCATTGGCTTATTTTTATTAGTTATACTATTTCAAAGAGATTACATCATGTTCAATAGGCTTTGTAAATGAAAGGAAGTAATATACTTTGGAAACATCTCAGTAAAATAGTTTTTAAAACTTTGTTGTTTGAAAGGGATTTTAGGGGACAAAAAAGTGTTTTGGTTTACTCATTAGTAGAGAGGATGCCAGTAGCACCTGCCTTACGAGGATTCTATCATTAAATGAGCTGACTTTCTAGAGCTCTCGGAGCAGGGCCAGATACCCAGCAGCACAAAAGTGTTAGTACTGTTTTTATTATATTACCTCCTTTGCCTATGTATTTTCTTTTTTTCTGCCCCACATTTCACCAACAGTTGCATTTATTCTCTAATGGTTATCTTGTCTTGTACTGCAAACAATTACCAAAAATTAAAATTACAAAAAGAAATTATAAAATTTGAGCATTATGTAGTAATGAAGCACACAGACGAGGATGAGGTATGAACTGAATGCCTTAGAAAGACTTGATAAAATCAAGTCATTGAAAAAATAGAGCGGCCAAATAGTGAGCATGAGAAGAGTCTGGAAAAACTCAATGTAATTCTACACTCAGTTTTTCCCTAAAATATCTTATTTTTTTCATTTCAAACAAATCCAGACTAGGAATCTAGAGGACGACTATCATTATGGACAAAATCAGGGCAGCACTGAATCAGAGGGCCCACAAAAAAGGCTCTGGCCCTGCAAATATGTAGAGTGCATGAACAGCTATGCAATGCATCTGTTGGGCATAAACATTTCCGCGGGGGAGGGAGACAGTTACTAGAGAAAAATGTAATAAAGCTCCTTGGAGGAGATAATGAAAAAAGCTCGGAAACTAATTGATATATGATGTTTAAAAATTTTTAAAGTATGTATCATATCATTAAGGGGCTCAGGACATAGTTAGTGGTGAAGACCTTATCTAACAAGAGCCTGGGTTTAATCCCTAGAGCCAATAAATAAATAAATTAATTATAATAATTTTTAAAATAGCTACCATTAGTATTAGGATCCCAGATTTGATGAACCCATAAAGTACTATCTGCATAGAGCGAGGAAAAAAGGCTATACTGTATGACAAAATGTAGCAGTCACAAAAGAGGGGTCTGAAATGCTTAAGGAAGGTGAGGAGAACAAGCTCTCAAGCTGCCACTGGACAGAGGAATACAGATTCCTTTCACCGATGAGAATGAGGCAGGCTTGGGGAAATGAGCTACAAGAAAAATTATAAAGAAAAGAATAAAGATGGATGAGGGTAAACAGAAACCTCAAGGCCAGATATTGCACAGCTTTATATGATAAGCAGAGGTATCTAGAGTTTACTGTATAGGTGAGGGAAGAATATCAAAAAATATTGAATGCTGCCGTGACATGATCAGATCCGCCTGCTAGAGGCACCATCCTGTCAGCAATGTGGTGACGGGCCAATCCGTAAGAAAGCTACTGCAATAGTCCCAGTAAAAGACGGTGAGGATTAAACTAGAGCAGTGGCGGGGGACATGGAAAGGAGGAATATAGTGACCTATATTAATTTCTTCGCCACACTCAGGCCCTCGTGGCCCCTCCCAACATGGACCCCAGCATTGTCTCCCTCCCCCACACTTGGGGGACTATGATTGACCTGAGCCAACCAATGTACCCCATCACTCCAGTCCTGACATTTGTTTCATGAGTGGGTACTTTGCCCTTTTGAAACAGTGGGGTTATAAGAAAGGTTTGCTTCATGTTTCTGGGAAAGCGGCGTCTTCTCTGTCCAGCTGGATATGAATAAGGAAGCATGAAGTCCTCACCGTGGTTGGAAGTTGTTCGATAACCATGAGCTAGCATTCTGCTAATTTATCATCAAAAAGAAGGTTATGCTTAGGGGAAGAGACAGCACTATAGATGATTCATTTAGGATGATAGATTTAACTGTGACTATCCAGCAAACCAGGACATGTGACAATTGAAGCATGAGAAGAGGTGGTCCTAGGATGAGGGGAACCAGCACTGAGGGCCCTGAGGAAATTAACTACTCGACAGTACTATGTACTACTACACAGCACTTCGGCTGAAGTTGACTCTCTCTGAACTTTTTGGTCATGACAGTAAAAGCACCCTTTAATTTTTCTTTAATTTTATATTTAAATGTTTAAGCAATTAAAATGCATGGTGCATAGCACAATGAACCTTCAATCCTTCAAATCCAGATCCAAACATTTTCAAGTTTTTGTCTTAATTCTTCATCTCCTTTATTCTTTCCAATAGAATATTTTAAACAACCGTTTATTTTTTTATTTTTTTGGTTTTTCTCCGGTACCAGGAACTGAACTCATGACCTTGCGCTTGCCAGGCAGGCGCTTTGCCGCTGAGCTAAATCCCCAGCCCCTCCAATAGAATATTTTAAAGCAAATCAAGACACTTCATGGTGAACTCTTCACTGTGGGCCCCTGCTAAACACGAACACTTTCCTCAACAGCCACACAGCTGTGACACTTGACAAAGATAACTGACACCCATTCATGCCGTTTAACACCCAGTTCATATCCACATCTTGTTTGATCCAAAAATATCTTAACAGGGGCTGGGGATTTAGCTCAGCGGCAAAAGCGCCTGCCTGGCAAGCGCAAGGTCGTGAGTTCGGTTCCCGGTACCGGAGAAAAACCAAAAAAA